ATCTTTTTAACTTCAGAATTCTTGCATTCTGTATGTTCCTAAAACCAGCACCACATGGATGATGTCCACTGCCAGTTGGAGCAGTATCTCTGCTTTCTTTTCTCTTGGCTGTAGGGTCAACTGCCTGAATTGCTGAGCATTCTGAACCTGATTCTGAGGAACAAATTCTCTATGCTGCCACCATTCTGGAACCTTGTGTGGCTGTCACCATCATTTTGGAACATAGCATGGCTGCTGCCATTCTGGAACATGGTGCTCTGCAGCTTTTTCTTCAGAGAAAAGTCTTTCACTTTTTCAGTTTTGACACTACAAAGTGTGCAGTCTTGCTGCTTGTGATGCCCTCAGGACATCTTTTACATTCTTCTGTTCTTTTTCAGCAATCAAGATCTCCTCTGCTCTATCTTTGTAGTCCACAGATTTACTGGAGCTTCCTTTCCGGCTAAACTTACAATGTTTTAAATCATCCTGATGGGCTCTTTGCTCTTAATTCACAACACAAACCTGGCTAAAAACCCCCAACAACAGCCATGACACAACCTCAACACCAAACTGCTTTCAAATTTCTTCTGCCAGATTTATTAGTCCACTGTCCTTAATCTTAGTCTCAAGCAAAATATCTGAACATAAGCAAAATTCAGACAAATTTTTGCCAAGCCATAGCATACATTTTCTGGAGTTCAACAGCCAATGTAGTCCTTCCCAGAAGAAACCTCCTGAGCCTCATCTTTACTGGTTTTCTGGTCTTCTTAGCTCAGACCAGAATCTCCCACACAGAACAGCTTAAAGTGTTCCAATTCTACTTTTTTCATCCAGCATCTCTGAACCTATCCCAACTCTTCCTATAAATCACTCCCAAAGGCTCTTGAACTACATAGTCAGGTATAGTTAGAGCAATGATCCCACTTCTCTTGTACCAAATTTTGTCTTGGTTACTTTTCTCTCATTTCTGAGACAAAATACCTGATCCCCAAAATGAAGGAAGGAAAGATTTATTTAGCTCACAGTTTCTGGAGGTTTCAGTCCATAACCAGCTGGCTCCAAGACGGGGTAGCATGGCACAGGAACAACACTTCATGGTGGTAGAAAACAGCAAAAGCAACAAGAGTAAAAAGGGAAGAGTGTGAGAAAAGACTCTTTGTGTCACTTATATTGTACATAGGCTACCCACTCTGGAGTGGGTGTAGCACTCACACCCATAATCCCAGTATTGGCCCATGAATCACTAACAAATTCTGGAGGCCCACTTTCATGACTGCAGGAGTCTTTGGGGAGGACATCCAGACAACATCCAGACACAACCATAGCAATGAGACATTACAAAAATTCCAGAAGTGGGCATAGCAGGTGATGCATAACTTTATGATATTATTTAGGTTTTTCTTCCTTCTTCCATTCTATGCCTAGTTCTTAGCATGAGCATTTGTCTGTATGAGTTCTTTGTGGTCAATATCTGGCCACTCTATCTCTACTTTCATGACTATTACTATATGAAACATAAGAAGAAAACAAGGAAGTCAAAGTTTTACAGAAATTCACATCAGATTTTCATCATAGAGTCCACCCTAGCACAGACAGGGAAGGCTGCAAAAAAAAAGCACTTTGCTTCTCGGAATACAATCACTTGGAAGAAGAAATGTGCTATTGTAGCAGCTAGCAACATTTAATATAAAAAAATAAGACTTGATGAGAGAAAAGTCCAATAACCATCCATTCTCAGAGCCCCCAAGTCAATTTTCATACCCACAGAAAGATATAAATGCTAGGGGGTTAAACCACTAAATTCTGAGGTTGTTTGTTATGTGATGTTATTTGAGAAAAAGCATGATTAATTTAGGTGGGTCACCCTGAAGAGCTTCATCATCATTAGGATAACTATGATTAAAAAAAAAACAGGCAAAGTAAAGTGTTGATGGAGATATAAAATACTATAATATTTATACATTGTTAGTGTTATTGTAAAATGAGTCAACTATTTTGCAAAATAGTCTGAAAGTTCCTTAAAATATCAAGAGTAGAATTATCATATAACCCAATAATTGTACTCCCATATATATATATATATATATATATATAATAAAATCAAATAAAAATAAAAACATAAACCCAAATGAAAACTTATGTAGGAATGTTTACAGTAGTTCTGTTCATATCCAAAAAGTAAAAGCAGCACATCCAACAATTGCTAACCAGATAAATAAAATGTATTGTATTCACACAAAGGAATATTGTTCAACAATAAAAAAGATTATCCTTTTATGCTGCAACATGGATTATCTTTGAAAAAATTATGCTAATTTATGATTTGTTTACATCTAATATTCATAAAAGGCAAATCCATGGAGAGAAAGTAGATTCATGGCTTGTAGAGAGAATGGAGGAAGTGATGAAGAGTGACTACACATGAGTAAAGGGTTTTCTTGTTTAGGATGATAGAAATGTTCTAAATTTGATTATGATGATAATTTCAGAACCGTGTAAAGATATTAAAAAGCAGCATAAATGGGTGAATTGTATTTTGTGCAAATTATATCTTAATAAAACTATTTAAAATGATTAACTTTGTTTGATCAACTTTACATATTATCACAAAGTATATATATTTTGCATCTTGTTCCTTTTATTTAGCATTGTTTATGAAGTTTTTCATACTAAATATAATAGTAATTTCATTTTCATTATATAAGGTATAAAATTATATGAATATGTCACAACCACTTTCTCTGTTTTTCTGGTGACACACATCTTGTTTCTAGTTTTAAGCAATTACAAATAATGCCACTATGTATATTCTTAAATGTGTCTTCTGTAAACACATACATACCTTTTTATTGTGTGTATATTCTACCTAGCAGACCAATTGCTGAGCTATAGAGCAGTGTCTGTTCAATTTTGGTAAATACTGTTGAACAGTTTTCCAAAGGGATTGCTCCATTTTACACTCCCACTATCAGGACCAGTCACACAATTGATGGGGAACAATGCAAAATAAAAATATGAGAATTGTGGTTCAAAAACAGAAAACAAACCCATTAAAATATTAAATTATAAAGACTTTTCTTTTGCAATATCTTACCTTGATATGTTTTTACTTGCAATTTAAAATTATAAATTAAATACAAAATTAAAAATTACAGGTACAAATTTTACCATTGATTTTTATATCGGGAATGCCAACTTTAAATACAAATATAAAGGAACTTTTACTCGTGTATTCACCAAAATTACCTTTTTTCATCTCACTGTTTATCCACATATGTATTTCATTCTTACAAGAACTATGGAAAAGATTCACAAACTAACTCAACTATTTTTATTTCATTTCTTAATATGTAAACATTATAACAATATTTCTACATTTAGTTTTTCAACTGGGACTAACTGAAAAGAAACATTTTTCCCATCCTACTTGGTCTTTTTAATTGGGGATCAACCTCACACTTGCTAGCCAAGTGTTTATACTGCTGAGCTAAATTCCTGGCCTGCGTTGTCATTTTTTAATGTAAATACATGGCTAGTACAAGAAAGTAACACAAGTGAAAAGGATTGATAAGATTTCTTGGTCTCCCATGTTTCTTAGAATATCATTGCTTTTTGTCTGCAGTCAGAACAAGTTCTAGATTGGTAAGAGAGTGTTGCTTCTTGGGCTGTCAGCATCTTCCTCTCTTCTAGATTGGGTCACATAAACGACATACTTTGATTACAGTTTAACTTTCTTGAGTTGTAGATCACTCAGAATTCTGTGTTCAAAATGCAAATGGTTGGCTGGAAACAGTGAACATCCATAAAATGCCTACCTTTTCTACTCATGTTCATTCTATCAGTGTCCTTTCAGACTTCACTTACAAGATACATGTCCAGAGGCAAATTTATTTAAGAATTTCAAAACAGCAACAGCTGAACACTAAATAAAGCACAAGGTTCTTCTCAATGCACGTTCCCTTGTGCAGGTCACTTGCCTATGAATTGGTGCTGGCTCTAGTTCCAGTTAATCCCCAGTCTTGCAAACACTTAACATTTTCAGTGTCTTCATTTTAGTAATTTGATATTTTAGAAATATTTCACTTTGGCATTTATCTGCATTTCTTTGATCATCAAGGAAAAAATCATCTTTTCATACATTTAGTACTATTTGGCTGTGTGTGTGTGTGTGTGTGTGTGTGTGTGTGTGTGTGTGTGTGTGTAGAGCATTTATTCCAGTTTTTTGTTCATTTTTCTTCTGGCTTCTTGTGAGTTGTTTGGGGTTTTACTTCATTTCGTTTCATTTCATTTTTTAAGTCTGGATTTGTAACAGTTTTTATATTCTCAGCAGCAGCCTTACGTAGATTATATGTGTAGCAAGTATCTTTCCTTACTCTTTAGATTGCTTTTCATTCTCTTACAATGCATTTTGATTACTATAAGTTCTCAATTTTAATGTTTGTCAATCTTTTAACATTAAATATTTTTAATATAGTTTTAGAAACTTTCGTCTTTTTCCAAATTATATTCATTCTTTTATGTTTCTTTAAATTTTTTGTTTTGCCTTTCCCACTTAGATGCACAATCCATCTAGAATCTTATAAATATTGTCTAATCCATTGTATTTGTCACCATCTTCTCTTTTTTACTTTAATACAATAGCCTCCTTTCCTTGTCTTAGTTCATAGACTGTTCAAAGTATTCTACATTTGGCACATAATTTTCAGCCTCATTCTTTGCCACCTGTCTGCTTCACCAACCGAGTTTTGCCTGCCTTTTCAGAAATTGTTCCTTGAGAATCTACTTACGTCACTCTTCTCTGGTTGTTGGATGAGTGGCTAAATTTACCTCTTCTGTCACTTTTGCCAATGCTCCAAGGGAGATTTAAAACTTCCTGAGGAAAATCCTAAAAAAATATTCCCTTCAGATAACGCTGTGATGTAGCGCGATGTGTCTGAAATAAACTCCTTTTCCTCAAGCCCACCCGAAGTTTGAGGAGGAGTAATCGATCAGCTCCGGGCTCGCCTCACGGTGGGAGCTCGGCTAGTTCTGTCTGGAGCGCCTCATCCCGGAAGTGAAAAGAAGGTTGAAATCGGTTGTGGTCAGTGGGATACCGCAGGCCTGACCCGGATTTGTGCGAGTTCTGTAGCCGCGATGGCAGATCCTGACTCCCGCTATCCTCGCTCCTCGATAGAGGATGACTTCAACTACGGCAGCTGCGTGGCCTCTGCCAGCCTCCACATCCGAATGGGTACGTGACAGGGTCGCTTGTCCCCTGGCCGTCCCCACTTGCCGCGTCCCCGGGCCTGCGCGAAAGGGGCAGCGGGTCCCCGGGGCCAGACCTCGGTTCTCTGTAGCTCTGAGCTCAGGTACCCAACTAGAGTCTTCGGTGGAGAACGGGACTCGCGGAAGCCTCAACAGCTTAATTCTTCGTCTTTAAATTAAAAGAAACAACGGGTTCCTTTTTCCGAAGAAAATAAGTTTACTCTTTGATTTCTGCGACGTACACCGAAGTCAGTTGCTTACTCGTTGTGTTTGCTTTAAAAGGTGTAATCGGGGTGCAAGGTTTTCTTTACTTGCCCGTCTCATGTGCCAGACTGCAAACTTGGTCAGGGATAATGAATTTACGTATCTTGCTCATTATTTTCTTCTGCAGGGCGTACAACTTAACATATGTTGGAATATTATTCAGGAAGTTGTTGGAAACAAAAGCTTCCTAAGTCAGTCAAAATGTTACTTCATTGAACATTGCTATACAGTATCCGGCGGACAGACAAAATGCTCGGTGTCCTGTAGGTGGAATTCATTCCTCTGGTCCAGTTCAGCCATTTGATCTCAGACACTGCCCTAGGTTTTAAAGTTAATCTAGGCAACCAGAACTGGTTGTGAAAAAGGAAGTATGAAGATAGTTCTGGTGCATTAAGAATCTTGGTACCTAGCATCAGTACTTCGGGACTTGGAGTTTGAAATTATTTTGGCAAGTGAGCAGACTTTTAAAAACAATTGGATTGTGATTTTAAAAAATACGTAATTGAAATGTACCATCTTAACCATTTTGAAATTTAGTAATGTTAAATATCTTCACTTTGCTCTGTACTCAATCTCCAGAACTTTTTCTTCTTGTAAAAGTGAAACTATATATGCATTAAACAACTCCCCATTCTCTCCTCCATCCTGCTTCTAGCAACCTTCATTTAGCTTTCTGTTTGTGAAATAGACTACATTAAATGCCTCTTACAGACCACAGTAGTAAGTGCATGTAATCCCAAGACTCTGGGAGGTTGACGCAGAGAAGTTCCAGCCCAGCCCAGTGTAATTTATGTACCTTATTTCTTAAAAAAACAAAAAACAACAACAACAAAAACACTTCATATAAGTGCAACTATACAGTATTTGTCTCCCTTTTGTAACTGAATTATTTTAACTGGCATACAGTCTTTAAGTTGACTTCCTGTTGTAGAACGTGTCAGAATTTCGTTCTTCAAGATCAATTAATATTACATTGTATATATAGACTGACTTTTGTTTATCTGTTCATTGATAGACATTCATGTTGCTACTACTTCTTGGCAGTTGTGAATAATGCTATTATGAACGTTGGTGTGCAGATATCTCTTCAAGAGCCTGCCTTCTTTATAATGTACATACCCAGAATTGGAATTGCTGGATTGTATAGTAATTTTATTTTTAATACTTTAAGGAATTACTATGCTGTTGCACCATTTTACATTCTTGGCAACAGTGTACAATTCTGATTTTTCACACCCTTGCCAACACACACTATTTTGTGTATAAAAATAGCCATCCAAATGAGTGTGAAATAATCTTTTTAGTTTTGATTTGCATTTCCCTAGTGATTAGTTATGTCATAAATTTTAAAAATATGCTTTTTCAGCATTTGTGTATGTTCTTTAGAAAAATTTTCAAGTCCTTCAGTTAATTTTTTAAAATAGATTTTTAAAAGGCAATTCTAGGTCCAGAGCAAAATGAAGCAGATGTAGAGTTGTCATGTAACTGAATTTGTACATTTGATATAGTCAAGTTGCCGAAGTCCATAGTTTGCATTTGGGTTCTCTCTCTATGTGGTATAAATATACCACAATATGAATTCTGACAAATGTATAATATTTGACTATCTTAATAGTATCATACAGAATTGTTTCACTGCCCTAAAAATACTGTGCCTGAAAACTCTTTCTCTCATAGCTGAACATTGGCAACTACTGGTCTTTTTATTGTCTTTATAGTTTTCCTTTTTCCAGAATGCCATGTAGTTGAAAGCACACAGTATGTAGCTTTTTCATGTTGAAAAAGTACTTCACTTAGTACTAGGATATGTATTTAAGATTTCCTACATGTCTTTTCATTTTCTTTTACTACTTTTTTTTTTGGTACTGAAGATTGAAATCACGACCTTGTGCTTGCCAGCCGCTAAGTTAAATCCCCAGCCCCTCATTTCCATTTAATACTAAAAAACATTCCGTTGTCTGGATGCACCAGTTTATTCATTCACCTACTGAAGGACATCCTGGCTGTTACTGTGTTTTGACAATACTGATAGAACTATTTTATAAACATCAATGTGCATGCTTTTGTGTGTTTTCTACTCATTTGGGTAAATATCAAGGCCCACAGTTGCTAGGTCATATGGTAAAAGTATGTTTAGTTTTGTGAGAAATCACCCACGTATGTTCCACAGTTTCCATTTCTGTCAGCAATAAGTGAAAATTCTTGTTCTTCATCTTATAAAATTTGGAGTTGTCAGTGTTTTGGATTTTGGCCATTTTAATGACTGTGATGGTATCTTGTGGTTGCTTTACTTTACAGTTTTCTAATGACTTAAGATGTTGACCATCATTTCATGTTTATTTTCCATCTGTATATTTAGTGACGTGTTTCTTTAAGTCTTATGCCCATATTTTAATACAATGGTTTACTTATTCTTGAATTTTAAGAACAATTTATATAACTTGAATCTTTTTTTATATTTTACAAATATATCCTTTCAGTTGTAGCTTCTCTTCTCATTCTTTGTCATTTATTTATTTATTTATTTAGAGACAGAGCCTCATTATGTAGTTCAGTATGGAGGCCAAACTGACTTGGAACTCACAGCAGTCTTCCTGCCTCAGCCTCCTGATTGCTGGGATTACAGGTGTGCACCACTATGCTCAGCCCTCTTATCCACTTTAAAGTCAGGTTATTTTTTGTTTCTACTGAGTTGCAACTTTATTTGCATAGCCTAGGTGTTAGCCTTTTACAAATGTCTTGATTTTCAAATTTTCAGAAGTTAAATTTCTGTAGAAGTGCTATTGAGTTTTTAAATAGAAGATATTCATTAAAGAGGCCTTGGAACTGCCATTAAGGAAATATTTGAATCATTAATTATGCATTTAATAAAATATTTTTGAGCAACCCCTTCTCCATATAAAAACTGATTTAATAAGTTTTGAAAATTATAGCTGTTCTTCTTAAGGCATTAGTTAAGTTAGTAGGCAAACTGATCTGTGATGGCTGATTTATTAAATTCTAAAGTGCCAAGTTTGAGTTGAGAGGAGGAGTTTGCGGAAGGAAGTGAGCATGTGTGAATTAAAGTATTCTAGGAAAACTTTAAGAATGGAATTCTGTTGGAGGGCTGGGTTTGGCCAAGTGAAGAGAATCCAGGAGTTGAGAATAAGAAGAGGAAATTTATGATGAGGGATGGACGTTGGAAGTGACATGCTCTATCAGAGTGTTAAAAAGCCTTTTAAATTATTGTCAGAGACTTGTTACAGGACAGTAGAGACAGCCCTAATTTAAAGTTCTAAAAATTAAACAGCTCTGGTTGGCAGTTATGTAAAGAGGTAAAGTACTGTGCCATTCTAATCCTTGGATTCTGTATTTGTCATAATTCCTATGATATAGCAGTAGTTTTAAGTGTCAGAGAGTTATTCTCTACACTGAAGCTTCTCTAACCTATCCTAGAAAATCTTGGCATTTTGGGATTATGCTTTAAAACATAAGAATTATACTGTTGCTTTCTCTAGAATTACAATCTCTCAGGTAATATATAAACTTATATTTTTAAAAAAATTTGCCTAATTTTACAACAGTTCTTTGCAAGAATGCTAGGAATAAAAATGCTAGGTTTACCAGTGCACAGATGAACCCTTCTTTCCACTCATCTGTATATACAGATTTGATTTGTTTTGTTTTGTTTTTGTGATAATGGGAATGAACCCAGGGCCTTCAGACATTTCCAGTCCTTAAAAAAGTTTTTTTTGTTTTGAGACAGCATCTTGAAAGTAAGAACAACTATGTACATAATATGAGCCTATGAATTATAAATTACAGTCCGGAGCCTACAAAAGTCATTAAGTACTGTTTCTAAATTACTTAGGCTGAGTTTAACCTTGGCAACCTCCTGCCTTAACCTCCAAGAGCATTGGGATTACAAATATAAACCATCATATCCAGCTGTGTATAAACTATTTTTAAAAAATAATTAGTCTTATGCTGTTCACTATTGTAATGCTGCTGACTGCAATACCAAATATGTACTTAATAAACATTTGTTCACTGCAGGTAGTTATCAGGTACACTTTATTTAGGTGCCCTAGTAATTGGTCTGGTAAATAAGCTGACTACATTTGTATTAAATAAGGGAATCTCATCTTCACTGGTTTTTTACTAATTAAGAGGTTAATCCAAAAAATGCTGTATTTCTTTTTAATTTAATACATTAAAATATATCCCTAGTTTTTTTATATTGACAACTAGATTATTTGGAACTTTTGCTAGATCAATGCTATAAACAAGCATGACATAATTCAGTGTTCTTAACATTTTAACATTTACATTGTATTGGTAAATTACAATATACCATTTTCATTGAATGTTAGATACCACTCATACACATATGTTCAATCTATTGTTTCTCGTTTATAGATAATAGAAATTTGATGAAATCGATTTACATTGCAGTTCTTTGCATCTGATTTCTTTTCAAACAAGTTGTTGTGCTTAGTTTTTTGCATCCTAAGAACATAACCTGATGAATTTATTCTTGATCCTATGTGATACCTGATGCCTGGAGGATGTTTTGCTGACGCTGCCACACATCTACCTATTCTGATGCATTTTTCCTGCAGAAATTTGCTAGATCTCTTCCTTTCAGTTCAAGTATCATTATCAGCTCATTTTATGTCTATATTTTAAATGTTGGTTAGCTGAGAGTTAACTCATACTTTTGAACAGTGCAAGTTTTGGTAG